GCATGGATTTCTGCAGCGCTCCGTGCTCATGGGTGCTCCCCGTTTTTCCCCAAAGCATGGGGGGTGGGGCGGAGAGCAGCTTGCCAGGGCTGGGTGCTTTCCACCTGGTTTTCTTCTGCTGCAGCAAATTTCAGCTGCCTTCCACATTAATGAAGTGGCACCAGGACTCAGAGCTGGCATTGGTTTGTCTTTGGAGTCAGTGGAGGGCTGCGGGTGACTTCTGGTGGTTGAACCTTCCTTGTAAAGAACTGCAGGTCTCAGTCCACAGCCCCTGGTGGGATCAGTGCACATCAGAGCTGTACTGGGTTGATTGGGAAGGGAAGCCCTGCTGAGACCTCTGCAACCCTGGCTGTAGGGTTTAATTATGCATCGGGTGCTGGCGAGGAAGGTGATGGTGCCTCTCTCAGCATGGTGGTCCTGGGTCCAGCAGCCTTGTATGAACATGGCAGATGCCCTCCCCAAAGGTTTCCTTCTCCAAATGCATGGCATGGCACGCTGTTTGTGGGGTTGGAGGCTTCTCGCAGCATGCTGGGCACCCCAGCTGCAGGGCAGTGCCGTGTTGCAGCCTGCTCTCTGCGCTCACCCAGCTGGTGCCGTTCTACGAGGAACTGGGAAAAGGGTGATGTCTCCTGGAGGGGCAAGACAATACCACAAGTTTGGACTGGGGCAAGTGAGGGTTGTGCTGTGGCCAGGGCAGGGAAGAATTCCTGGAGGGAAGTCTGCTTTCATGTCTGTTTGTACTCTCCCTTGGAGGAACATTGCCTGCTTGCCATTGCAGCCACCAGTGCCACATCCTTCGCCAGGCTCCAGCCGTGCCTGTTCCTCCTCCCTGCCTGCATGCCCAAGGGCCAAGGGCAGGTTCTGTCCCCCCAGGCAGGCTCCCAAGCCCTGCAGAAGTCAGCAGCAGGGAGCCTCACCATGGGGCCAGCAGCCGCCTCCTCCCACTGCAGTGCACTCCACTTCCCTTCCCTCCTAGCTGCTTCCCCCCACTCCATCTCATTAACTCTATATCCCTCCCGCCCCCTCTCCCTCCACCTCGTTAGCTCCATATCCCTGTCCGCCCCTTCTCCCTGTGCCTTGGCCGCAGCTCCTTCATGCCATGCTGGATGGGAGCTCCCTGCCTGCAGCCCCTAGGGTGGGTTTGGCCGGGTTTCAGGGGCTGCTCTGCACTCCTGGCAGGCACAAGCATCACCTTGGGGACAGCAGTCACCTACCCCATCCATCCAACCCCAGCAGCACATGCCGGGGGGGAACTGCCCTGCGATGATCAAAAGGAAGGGGCAGGTTGTGGCTGTCATCTGCTGGGCAGAGCGGGGGGCCACCAGCTCCATGCCCAGGCATGTGCCGCCTGTGGGGTGCCCAGAGGAGCCTGTGCCCAGGGCAGAGGAGACACCTCACTGTGATTCCTTGCCACCTCCAGCCTGGAAACCCTCTTGCCTTCTACTTCATGTCATACCAGCACAGAAATGAGCCCTGCTCCATCCTTTCCTTCTCCGGGGTGCTGGGCTCCGCAGCCTCCAGGGAAAACACACCCCAAAAGCTCCCGTTCGGCAGTTTGCCAGGTCAGCGTAGGAGCCACACCAGGGGCTTGCTGCAGAAGAGCACACCAAAATGGCAAATCTGGAAGCGTGTTTTTTTACAAACCCAAACGCTGAAGCCTGTTGGTACGGTATGTATTTGGAAGGGTTAAAGTCACATCTTCCAGTCTTTAATTACTTAACTATTCAATGCTTTCCTTAATGATAAACAGATGGATGTATTCTAGTTCCTTCCTGTTCTAGCTCCATTGATTGCATTGGACTAGCTGCTGGGCTGAATTTGGCCCCGGCTGTTTATCAAGAAGTCTGCTCCACATTGCAATCTCTCTGTCCACCCACCTCCATCCCCAAGAGCATGTGGCACCAGCAGCATTGTAAGGTACGAGCTGCATCACCGGGTCCCACTCACCACTGGGGCCAAGGCTCAGATCTGCTGCCTGTGGCTTGTGTAGAGCCCAGCACCCCCAGGGTGTAAAAACCCAAATAAATCCTTATAACAAACCTGCTGTATTAAAAGCATCCCTTGAAGGGTAAGGACGGGTGCCAGGGAAGATCACCCGTGCCAGCTCCAGGTTGTTACTCAGTTTCACCCCTTTGTGGATTTTGCCCAGCAGGTCCATAGCAGGGAGATGGAGCGTCGGAAGCCCAGTTCCCATGGCAGACGGGGTCTCTGTATTTCAGAGCTGCCTCTCTAAAGCTGAAACAACTGCTTGCTGCCCAGGTGCATGGCACTGCCACCAGGCAGTCCCAAAGCGTGCAGCGAAGGTCACTCCAAAGCCCTTGAGAAGCTGAAGGTTTCATAGCACCTCCTTTGGTGCTCCACTGCCCAGCAGCAAGGTGCCACCACCTCCTCAATCTCTAAAAGCCAGGTCTGAGGAAGCCGAGTGAGCCAGTGAGCACCATGGGAGCCCCGGGCTCTGCCATCAGTGAGCGCAGAGGCAACCTCCTTGTGCAGTGCTGACTCTGCTGCCAGGGTCCCCAGCCACCGTCACTGCAGGGTGGGTGGCAGCAGAGATGGCCACCATGGTCCACTGCCTTTGAACAGGGCAAAACTTGCTTTGTAAGCCTGGACAACCAGAAAAAAAGTCAAAACTAAACTTCCACCCTCACGCTTTGGTCCCCAGTGCTGGCAGTGGCACATCCTGCTGCCAGTTCCCACAGGCAGCACGACTGCGGAGGTCTCCCAGCTGTGTGCTGGGGCTGCCAGGCTTCAAACCCCTTCCCTCTGCCCGAGCTCAGCAGGCTGGTCCCCATGGCCCTCTGGCAAAAGGCTGACCAGAAATACAGTGTTTATTTGCTCAGTGTGCAAAGCCAATACCATGGGCACCACATGGCAGGGGGCTTGAGGCCAGGGGAAGCGAGTCCGTAGGTCTCAGTGCTGCGGCAGGACGCATGGATGTGGGGAGGTGAAGGGAGGGAGCTCTTGACCTATTTTCTCTGGGCCTCCTGCCATGTGCAGGCAGGGAGAGCTCTCCCTTGCCAGTGCTGCCAATGCCTGCAGGGCGGTGCCCATCACACCCACTGCCCTAGCACGGGGCTGCTCTCCTTTTCCCTCACTGGGGCAGGTGTGGGGCATCACCAGGCACCCTCCACCCCCAAGTCTGGCTGGCATCACCAAGGGCTGACCCTCCAGATGCTCATCATTATGTTGGTACATGGCTGCTCCACCACCAGGTCCCAGTGCCTGTCCCCATTGCATCCTAACCACAAAACATGGACTAAATCCTGCTCCAAAAAGTGGCTGCAGGCAGCATTATCCTTCCTGGAGGTTATTTCCTCTTGCAACCTAGAGGGCTATTTGGGTTGGGTTTGAGGAAGCCCATCTTAGTCTTCCAAATTTGGCTCCCTTTTTTATTAAAAGAAAGTAATCCTGACTCTCTGGCAAGTTGCAAAGCGCGTTCCACATGCGCTGGTGCGGTGTTGGCCGGCAGAGCCTGCAGACAGCTTGCAGTAGCTCTGGAAGGTGTGTGCTCTTCTGTTTATCAAATGAGTGTTAACTCTGCAGCCTTCTGTTGGTGATTTAAATGTCATCATCACTAACTATTTCGCTGCTGCTCAAAACATGAAAGGGAAGCGAAGGCCAGTGAAGGGCACCTCTTCCTGAGCCCTCAGGTGGGCTTGCTGCATGAAAAGGGCTTGGAAAAAAATACTCTTACTCCTTTCCATGAGAAATCAGATGGTGCTTAGGATTAGATAGGATTAGAGGGAATGGCCTCAAGTTGTATCAGGGGACGTTTCAATTGGGTATTAGGAAAAATTTCTTTACTGAAAGAGTGGTCAAGCATTGGAACAGGCTGCCCAGAGAGGTGGTGGAGTCACCATCCCTGGAGGTGTTCAAAAAACGTGTAGATGTGGCACTTCAGGACATGGTTTAGTAGGCATGGTGGTGTTGGGTTGATGGTTGGTCTTGATGATCTTGGAGCTCTTTTCCAACCTTTATGATTCTATGATTGGGATGCACTGGGAACATCTACTTAACCCCCCAACACCCCCGTCAGCTCTGCAGGCATTACAGAGGGAGATGGGAGCAGGGTGGGGTGTGTTTATCCCAGGGGCGATGGAGCCAGGCATCTTGCCCCAAACTGGAGCTAGGGAGGAGCGCAGGGCACCAGTGACGGAGAGGGGAGAACAGCCTGTGGCAGAGCCAGGTTGCGGTGGCTCCGGTGGGTGCCGCAGGGAGGTTTTGCCGTCAGTGAGTGACTGGTATTCAATTTTTCGACGCTGGAACGTTTGCTTTGTTGGCTCGTTCCCTTGGTTACGTGGTATATATTAAGTTCTCCATTTGGCTTCCTTATGCAATTAACTGGCGTTCTGTTGCATGGATTTCAGAAACGTAATCAGAGCTAAAACCTCATGGTCAGACCTGGCTGACCCTGGTGTGCATGGCTGGAGCAGGCTGCTCTCAGCACGTGCCACACTGGGCGAGTGCTGACACCTCTTGCTTTCAGGGACTGATGCACAACACCGCTCGGCTTTGGCAGCCCCAAGATTTGGGGAGCAGGGATACCCCAAACGCACCTGCCTGGCAGTGGGGTGCCTGACGGGGTTGTGTGCTGGGGTGCGTCTGCACCCTGGGTGCTTGCCGGCAGTGGCTGCTCGCTTGGCGGGGCTCGAGCGCTGCTGGCTCTCTCCACGGCTCACAGATTGTCAAAGTTTTCTGCACATCCCCATCCTGTAGGTATGTATGTGCTGTTCCTCTGCGGCCGTGGGTGTGCATATGGCTGGCTGTGTGGCAACTGTGTTGAATGCCAAAGCAGAGAGGACAATGTGTGTAGTAGCAAAGGGTGCCAGGAATCCGAGTTGCTGGAAAGCTGGGGAGAGGCGACGCCGCACCCCACGCGCCGGGCTACCAACTGCAGAGATGAGATGAGCCTGGAGGCTGTGGCGAGGGAGGCTGTGAGGGCGGCGCGGGCCAGCGAGCCGACTCCACTCAGGGATTAGTCAGTACGGTAGGATGTGAGGAGGGAAAGGCAACCCGTGGCAGAGGGAAGCGGTGCCCCCCTGCCTGCAGGAGCACGCCCAGGGTGGTCCTGTGGCAGGGAGGTGGCATTGGCCATATGTCCCTGTCCTTCCGAGGCTGTCAGGGATCCTGCTCTGGGTTAATCCCACCACTCCCAGTGCTTTTCTACAGAGGGGTCCGGTTCAAGAGCTGGCCAAAGTCTTTTCCAATGTGCTGGGAGGATCTGAGCATCCTGATATTGGAGCATCTGTATGTCGTGATGCTGAACCATGCCCTGAAATCTTCCCATGACTGAGAGGCACCAGGCATGGAGCACATCCGAGGAGGGACAACCCTCTCAGCCCATGTTCTCTGGAGCCCCCATCCTGCCTCTCTGCTCCAGACTCTCCCCAACTTCATCCTTCTTGAAGCACAGTACCCACAACAGGGTGTGGGATTGATTTGGCCTCACCAGGGCTGAACCAGGCAGGGGATGAGGGGGCATGAGTCACAGGTGGCACAGCCCCGTTCCAGACCCTGGCATGCAGAACTGCTCTTCTACCTGAGCACCTGATTATTCCCACCTGGAAAAACTCCTGTTTCTTCCTACCTATAAATAGGGCCTCACAGCTGCCTTGCTTAGTTTCCTCCTGTGGTGTCAGATGATGGCTTTAGCATAAATGATGTTTGCTATCCATCTAATGATCCAGCATTGTGGGGTTTTGGAGGATGACCAGGCTGTGCCTCCATGGGGGGTGGATAGCAGAGAGCAGGGTAAGCAAGACACAACTGGCACACTGGTGCCAGAAAAGGGGACCTGTGTCCAAACAAAGCCATGGCACCTCCAGTTTGGGATATAGAGCACATATAGAAAGTGGCTCCATATGATCCACAAGCCATCAATTAATGGTGGATGTAAAATCCACATGAGAAACCCTGCATGTTGTCTAGGGGCCACAGGCAGAGGCAGGGCTGCACAATGGGAGAGGCGTTTGCCTGCTGAGTCCCGGCTCCTGCCGCCACTGCCGCCCCATGCACCCGGTCCCTTGTTTCCCAGAGTGACTCAAGTCGTGAGGTTGAGTCCGGTCCCCTCCAGAACTGTTGCTGTTGAGTGTAACAGCTCTGGATGTTCTGATTTCTTTGCAAATCTTGCAAAATTTTAGACCTTGGCAGCTGTTTATGGCCTGATCCTGATGGCCTGGAGTGAAACTGCCACCTTATTTTCCTGTGCATTGTTGCTTATGGGGAAAATGGAAGTTTTTGACCTGTACATTTACCATTTCTTATTTTAGAGCCTACAGTTGCATCCCTCTTGCTTCAAGCCATTACGTTTCCCTGAACCCGGCTTTGACACTCTGGGTATGGGGGATTTTTAAGCGTGGGGATCAGTATGGCATACAGCATTGAGACAGGCTGCACCATTTTTTTATATAAGGGCATCACAATGTTTTCCCCTCTGTGAGTGCCCCACACTCGCACCTCGTTTCTTTTGCACCCAACTAATTCAGTAGAATAAATTATTCTGAATTCCTCGTTAACACAGTCATGCTACTAAAAGATTTTAAAGATACAAGCTGCTAAAGGTTTATTATGTTATTATGTACAGATATTTTTTTTTCCTTTAAATGGACCGACCCCCTTTCTTTCCTTCCTGCAGCAGTGAATTCCCGAGGTTAATTACATGCTGCGTAACAAAGGCGTTATTTCTTTTTGTGCCTTCGGTTGTGTTCCTTTTCATGGCTGGAGAAATGAGCCAGGAGAATAAAGGCTTTGCGCTGAAGTGCATTAAAGTCAGTGGGCTTTGGCTCATGCCCAGAAAGAAAAGCAGCGCATGGTTTAATTCCAGGGCAGGCTTGAACAATTGCATTTAAGGTTTTTTCGGCGGTGATGGCAGAGCTTTTAGGTTGGATTCTCGATACTCAGCTATCAGAGGGGAAAAGCAAATCCCCCCAGGACCGGCACAGAGCCGTAATGCGCTGTCTCCCTCTCCCCAGGTGAACGGCAGTGATGGGATGTTCAAATACGAGGAGATCGTCTTGGAAAGGGTAAGTGCTCCTTACTCGCCTGCCAGCAGCCTTTCCTGCCTCTTCCCACTTGCGCTCCCACCAGCGTGGCCGGCACCCCCTGCATCCCTGTGCCAGCTGACGGGGAGAGGTTGGTCTCAGCTCCACGCTCTCTCTGGAGGTTTTTGGGGTGTCATGCTTGCCTTCCCTGCACAGCCCCCATGGTGTGGGGAGAGGTGGGCTTGCTGCTCCCCCCACCACAGACACCTCCAGAAGGGAGGGAGGAGGGCTTCTCCCTTGCCTCCCTCGCTCACACCCTCGCCCCCACAAACCCGCCAGCGCAGAGCCCGGCGGGGGGAGGCTCTTTGTCACTGCCTTTGCTGGAGAATGGAGGTGCAGGGAGCTCTGTACAGGTGTGCAGGCAGGCGCACCCCACAGCCAGGCACAGGGGACCAATGCCTCCCCACCACCAGACTCCCCATCACTCCAGAGTACACAGCCCAGGGATGCTAAGTGGCAAGGACAGGTTTTCCAGTAAACCGGACCATAACGGAGGGAGCTTCTGCACCAGCCTCTTCTTGTCTGTTGGCAATGCAGAGCTGATGGCATGCACCACACCGGCCGTGGCTAAAATTAGCTCCCCCTGTGGATGGGGTTTGTCCAGGGGCGAGCCAGTATCATGCAGGACAGGGAGGGCTTTCCCCTGGTGCCCAGGGAGCGGCAGGGATGGAGGGGTGGAGAGGATGTGGGGAAAGCTGGCCCAAGCTTTGCTCCAAGGTAGGCACAGCCCCACCGAGTGGGGATGGCCAGGGCGGGAGGCTGCCTGCAGCGCTCCACGGCACACCTTGCCTCCTCCTTGCTGCCATGCCGGGTGGCTCGGCTTTGCCACGTGGCCGCATCGCAGGGGAAAACGCATCGTTCGTTATTCTGTTCCTCTCTGCCTTTAGTCATCTCCCTCCTCCCCTTGGCTCTGCATCATGGAGGTGGGTGGACGGAAGGTTATCTGGGGCTGCCGCCTCACCCACTGCTTCCCCGGCGTGCCTGACGAAACCAGCCCAGGGGATGCTTCCTTTTTGGGCTGAGCGCTTTTCACTCCGGGCCCAATTTAGAGGCAAAAGCCTTGTTTTCAGGGATTCTTCAGAGCATCCTCTGTCCTCAGCCCACAGAGGGGGAGCTGGCAGGGTCGCATGGAGAGGCAGCTCTCGTGTCTGCCCCCATTTCAAAGCCCCAGGCAGTGATTCCCTCTCCAGCAGTGAGAAACGATGAGGGAATTTCAGTGCTTAGCAGCCAGGGCCAGCGTGGACCATACCCAGATCCTTCCCCTTCACCCGGTCCCCAGTGGGATCCAACAGCCCCATCTTACTGCAGGAGAAGCACCCTGGTGCCTGCAGGTGAGGCTCTACCCTTGCTGGGATGTTTGGCTCCCCGAGTCGACCTCAGTGTACCCCAAAATTGCTGGCTGTCACTGTTATTAATCCTTATCCTTGTTATAAGGAAAAGGGCAAATGCAGCAGTGTTTTGGGGGCAATAACTGAGGAAATGCCATCCACAGAGGGACGTGGCTTTGGGTTTATCCACCATACATGTGTCCACAGCAGGAGCTGCCCCTGTGTCTACATCAACCCCACTGCCAGCTAAGAACTCCCTTGAACTCCATTTCAACGTTTATCAAAATAAAAATAAACATCTCCCGGACCATTTCCAGGTTTTGTAGTTAGCATCGGAGCGCGCCCTTCCACAGACAGGTATAATGAATGGCTGGAGATTATTTTGCACAATCTCACCTGCCTTGCTGGGACCAGGCCAGGTCTCCAGTGACAGTAAGCAGCTTCTGTGAGCTGGGTGTGGGGTAACCAGAATCCAGCTTAGAGGAAAGAGAGCAGCCTCAGACCACTGAGGGCCTCTTCATCACGTGCCGGCCAAATCCCAGCCAGCAGAAGAGCATCTGGGAGTGTCGCATAGTGAGAGACATTGGTAGCTCCCAGAGATGGCTTAAAGTCAGAGTGGAGACGTCTGTGTTGCTGCAAGAGCTGATGTTGAGCCCAAATTGCTGGGGAGATGTGTGAGCCCCAGCCGGCTGCTGGTGCTAGTTGATCCTGGGGAGCCTGAGCTCTGGGATGGCCCTTCTGGCTGCAGGTTCCCCAGAGGGGCAGAGCTCCCCATCGCCTAAGGCTGAGCAGTGGGGCTGTGGGCAGCCCGGAGAGTGCTTGGCCCAAGCCCGTCTCTGTACAAGAGAGGCAGGCACGATAGGATGTGACTAAGTGTCAGCTCTTCCGCATGAGAAAACAAGGCAAGGAGCCATCTGATTTTCAAGGCAGAGCAGAAAAAGCAGGAATTGTCCACTTGCATCAAGCACGGAGCTGGAAGCAATGCGTGTGAGTGTGTCACTAATGGGGATCCTGTAAGCAGGAGAGGCGGCACAGGGCCACAGCTGCTCGTCCTGGGATGCTGCCGGGATGGGGCTGGAGATGTGGCTCCTGCATTCCTCCCCCCACTGGCAAACTTAAACAAGGACAAAGCTCAAGTGATGCTCCAAGCATGTCTGGGAGGAAGAGGAGGCAGAACTGGAGATCCCGTTCCAGCCCAACAGTCCCCTCCACCCAGTCCTGCAAATTTTGGCATCAGCACTGCTGTTCCCCAGATTGGCTCTGTGCCAGGGCTGCATCCCAGAGTGCAGGGGGGCAGGGGTGGGATGCTGGTGACTGGCACCAGCCCTGCTGCTCCGTGCGGGCTGTAGCGTCGGTGTGTCCTCCTGGGGAGCAGCCAGCAAGGGGAGGTTTTCTCCGCCAAGGACCACCCCCTCTTCCCCCAGCTCGCTGCCTGCCTCAGAGCCTCTCAGCGGAGATGCGGTGGTGAGGGAGGTCCTCGGCGGCTCCCCCTCTCCCGCTCCATCTGTTCAGTGCTCTGCGCCGCTTCACCGAGCGCCTCGGCTGATGAGCGCCGGCCTCCCCTCCGGCCACGCAGCCCTCTGCCCCCTGAGCCCGGCACCCTGGGGCACAACAGATGCTGTAAGGACTCCCATGCCCCAGGCGGCCGTGACTGGAGGGGAGCTGCTTCGGGAGGGCCAGCAGCAAGCGGTTGCCCACAGGGGAAAGACGCAGTGTTTGATTTCCCACAGGGTAACTCCGGCCTCGGCTTCAGCATAGCAGGAGGAATCGACAACCCCCATGTTCCAGATGACCCGGGTATCTTCATCACCAAAATCATCCCTGGGGGAGCGGCAGCCATGGACGGCCGTCTGGGGTGAGTGTACAGACCTGGGGAAGCAGCCCCATAAGGGTGTCAGCTGGGATATCCCCAGGCACTCTCTAGGCAGCTCCTGCCCCCCTCCCCTGCCATCGTCCATGGCTTCCCTGGTCCCTTCCCCACAGCCGGGTCCCCTCAGTGCAGGGATGCCCACAGTCCCCTGCCACCAGCCTCCCGTCTACAGCCAGCCCTCCTCCCCTCCTTGTGCCAGGCTCCAGCTCCCATCCTTCACCCTGCAGCCTGGGACAGGATCCAGCCTTTCCCCTCATCTCCCATCTCCACCAAGGTCGTGCCATGGGCACCAGCCCCACTGCCTCCCCCTTCGGGAGGGATCCCACTCTCACCCCAGCAGGCAGGATCTGGCCATCTTGAGCAGTTCTCTTTCGCACAAGGGTCTGTGCAGCTGGAGGAGGGTGGCATGGGCTGGTGGTTCCCCAGGGGAGCTCAGGGCCACCCTGTGCCCACAGGGTGAATGACTGCGTACTGCGGGTGAACGACGTGGATGTCTCCGAGGTGGTGCACAGCAAAGCTGTGGAGGCCCTGAAAGAAGCGGGCCCCGTGGTACGGCTTGTGGTGCGCCGCCGGCAGCCCCCACCAGAGACCATCATGGAGGTCAACCTGATGAAAGGCCCCAAAGGTGAACCTCTCACTGCTCACAAGACCAGGGTGCCCCACAGGACAGTGTGTGGGATGCCATGGTGCGCAAGGCAGCATCACGGGGAATGTGGGATGTGAGGTGGCACTGTCACGGTGCAGGATGCCGCAGGGTGACCCAGCAGCATGGGATGCTATGGGGCATGGGGTGTGGGACAACCCTATGGTGCAGTGCATGGTGGCTGGGCTGTGCCCGCGCAGCAGTGGGGTGGCCCATTGCCTGCCAGCTTTGGGGCAGGGGGAAAAGCCCTGAGGCAGAGGGGCCGTGGTGGCAGCCTGGGGCTCCATCCATCCTCACCCCTTCACCTGCCCTCTCACTCCCCCTCAGGCCTGGGTTTCAGCATCGCAGGGGGCATCGGGAACCAGCACATCCCTGGGGACAACAGCATCTACATCACCAAGATCATCGAGGGAGGCGCTGCCCAGAAGGACGGGCGCCTGCAGATCGGGGACCGGCTGCTCGCGGTAAGCCCCATGCCTGCAGCTGCCCGCAAGGTGAAGCTGGGCAGTTTCTGCCATGCCACGGTGCTTATCCTGAACTCCAGCACCCCTCCTGCTGGTAGCCCCGCACCCCTTCCCTGGGGTCCCCACTGGGACAGTGCTGTGGGAGGCACAGGCGCAGCACCGGCTGCAGGCAGGAGGGCCAAACCCATGGAGATGGGACCCTGTCTCTGGAGCTACTGCGGCACCTACCCTGCAGGAAACCACTCCACTCCCGCAGGGCTGCATCTGCCCCTGTCCTGTCTGTGGCCATGTCACCCAGCCCCTTCCCTCGGCAGGTGAACAACACGAACCTGCAGGACGTGCGGCATGAGGAGGCAGTGGCCGCCCTGAAGAACACCTCCGACATGGTGTACTTGAAAGTGGCCAAGCCAGGCAACATCCACCTCAACGACATGTACGCGCCCCCCGACTACGCCAGCAGTACGTACGCCGCCGGCCACTGGCGCAGCAGCCCGGGCACTGCAGGGCTAGGGGGGATGGAATGTGCTGGGGCGGCGGGCAATGCTGGGCTGGTCTCCACATCCATGTTGCAGATGGATTTCTGCTCCTGATGCCCTTCTCCTCCCCTGCAGCCTTCTCAGCCTTGGCTGACAACCACATAAGCCATAACTCCAATCTGGGCTACCTGGGCAGCGTTGAGAGCAAGCCTGCCTACCCCGTTCCTCCCCAGGTGACTCCATCCCGGTACTCACCCATCCCTCGGCACATGATTGGGGACGAGGACTTCACCAGGTGAGTACCGGGCATAAGCATACCCAATCCCTGCTCCTTCTCCTTCCCTCTCTTTCACTCCCTGACTGCTTGACCTCATCCCCACTGCTGGCACAGAGCCTTGGCCAAAAGCCTGTTGTGGGTGCAAATCTTGGTGCCCCCACAGTGAGTTCCACGCTCACCCGCCCTGAGACCAGCCCTGCTGTGTTGCTCCCTGGTTCACTGCATTCCCCCCTTCCCCGCTCCCCTTCCTGCTCCTCCCCAAGCCTTACACATCTGCATTTCACCTTTGTTCTCTTACTTGTTTTACAATACCTGGAATACAAGGTGTTCCCTGCCCTTATGGTGCCATCTGGCACCGGCATTGCCGCAGACTCCCAGGCTGCGAGCAGGCTGTCCCCAAGCAGAGCTGTGCTGGGGGTGAGGGGCCAGGAGGTGTGCAGGGCAGGGCTCCTCTTCCCGCACTCCCCGAGCCCAGCATCCCAAACCACCTGCACCCGGGTGCCATTTCACCGGCTGCCAGCCCCAGGCTTGACAGCCTCCTGCACAGCCCTGGCATGGCCTCTTTTCTCCATTAGCATCATTTACGCTGCACAAGCAGGTTTGTTTCCTGAATCCAGGAAATAAAGAGGAGCACAGAGGAGATGTTGCTCTGAGCCTAAATGCAGTGTAAAACTTCTTCAAAGCCTCATGCTGAGGATGGGAGAGTGAGACCTGGCTGGTCCGGCTCTTCTTGTGCAGGCTCACACCTTGCTGCTTGCAACAGCCTCAGGGCCAGTGCTGAGCCTGCTCTGGGTTTGGTATCCCCAGGGCCAGGGATGTAGGCCTCAGGCTATATTCTTAGGACTGACACTCGGGTTAGGCTTAGAGCTGGCTCTGCGGTTAGGAACAAGGTCACAGGCTGGTTTCAGGGTGGCATTTGCAGTGGAAGATGCCGTAGTCTCGGCTGGGATTGTCCTGTTTTGTGGGGCACTGGTGGATGCCGGAGCGGGAGACCCTGTCAGGTCCCCTGTCCTCCCAGAGAGTGGCTGTACTCGCCTTTGTCACAGGGATTTCTCGCTTCTTGGTGCTTGTCCGCAGCCAGGTGTCTCTGTGCTCCATGACCTGCGCAACACTGGCCTCCACCCATGCTCCATCTCTCCCGCCTCTCTCAGCACCAACGATGCTGGTTCTACAGCCTGTTCCCAGTGCTGCATCCTCAGCGGGTGTAGAAAATCCTGTGCCGTCAGGGCACCAAGGGATGACGCTACATGCAGGAGCAGTGCTTTCTGCCATTGCATTGCACCACAGAAGGGGCCATGTCCCAGCACTCGGAAAACACACCATCTGTCTCTCGCCAGGGACCCCAGTCCCACCAGGGTGTCCCTTCCTACGACCTTGTTTGCGGGCCAGAGAGCAGAGGGAGCAGTGGAGCCCAGGCTGGACGCTGCCCAGTGGCAATGGCACGGCGATGGCATGGCCGTGGCACGGCGATGGCTCCGCAGTGGCCCCGGTGCAGCACGTGCTGGTGGCCGCTAGAGGATGGTGCTGCCTTGTGCAGGGCCCCGCTGCAGACAGGCTGGCTCCGCTCGGTCCCTGTCCCCAGCCACGGCCCACTGCTCCCCCGGCAGATTCTGTGCTCAGCACCTCCCTCATCCATCCCAGGGCAGCGCTGAGAACCTCATGCACATCACCGATGCCCCCTGGACAGCTTCATCGCCACAGGCCTGTTGGCTCCTGCGTCATCAAGGTTGTGCACTGTGGTCCAAATGCATCTTACTGGTGTGGGGAGAGACAGCGACTCCCCTGAAAAAGCAGCTGTCTCCCAGGAGGCTCCTGCCAGCCATTCCCCAGGAGAAGCAGAGGTCCTGGCCTGGATCCAGTATCAAGGCTCTTCCCCGCCCGTGAGCAGAAATGCTGCTGCAGACATGGATGTGGCTCCAGTGACCCTCGTGTCCTGCAGCACCCAGGGCTGGGGACTAGAGCATCTGTTTTCCAATGAGCTTCACCACTGCAACACAGATCTGGTATAGCTCCACAGGGTCCCCACAGTTGCTCTGTGCTGAGGTCCCAGTATTAATGCTGCGACATCCAGCGTGGGATCTGCCTGCGGGATCCATGTCCTGCCTCGTGGAATGAGGATGGAAAGCGGAGAGTTCATGTAATGGCTGAGACCTGAGATGTACCTGTCTGGGGCTTCATTTCCTCTCCTTGATTCCTATAGTGTCCCTCTACCTTCCACCAAACCATCTGCTGGGGATGCTTCCCACCAGGCCAAGTTGGGGTGGCAGTTCCTGCACTCTGCTTGGGCAGCAGCAAAACCCAAGGGGCAGAGCAAGTTCATCAGCTTGTTGTAGGCAGGGTTTGCAAACCCAGAAATCCAACCTATTTCTTCCCCTAGGAGAGCTCTATCTCCAGGCATACCTTTGCTGCAGAGGGACTGATGGCTGCAGCCCTCCCTGCCCCCTCACTACCGCCCCTGAGCCAAGTGCTGGTGGCATCCTGAGGACTTGGGGTTGAACCTATTTTGACCCCAATGGCATTTCTATGGTGTTTCCCTGGTCTCCTCCTGGTGCTGGTGCATCCCAGCTCTGCACTACATGTCCAGCTGAGTCCTGAGCCCCGCTTAGCTCAGAGCTTGAATGCATCCAAAGGCCATAAGGATAAAGCAGGAATTTTCTGGAGGCCACAAAGTAGATTCAGCCTCTGCCCCATCAGAAATGCGTAGCTGGAGTTACGACTCTGCCATACCTCTGGCCTTGAAGGCAAGGGGCTGTGGCAATGCATGGTGTGTGTGTAGCTGTAGGCACGGGGAACTGGGCTGTGAATTTGCCCTTGCTTGGGTGCTCCCCTCAGGGAGCAGGACAGGGCTGTGCTGCCCCTGCCTGCAGGGCCAGGAAAGAGTTAAGTCTGTAGGGTCTAGCAGAGCGAAGGCTCCGTCCTTTCAGCACTTCCATAAAAAACCCTGTGTGGGGGTCAGGGAAGCTGCGGGCCCCAAAGCCAGCGAGAGGCAGAGACAGGCAGCACGGGGCGGCTGTGGCGTGGAGCATTCAGAACATTCCTGCCCCTCGCGCCTCCTGGCCGGCGCCGCCAGCAGAGCCTGCCACGCCGCAATGTTCACCGTCAATGTCTCATCGTCCATGTCCTACAGGGGACAGCTGCCCCTGTCCCCTTCCAGGCAGCGTCGAGACCAGAGGTAGGGGACTGGGATGCTGCTGTGCCTGGTGGGAGGCACAGGAACGGGGAGAGGAATGGCTGGGAGGGCTGGGAGGGTTGGGCTGTGCTGAGCCCAGGGTCTGGGCAGGGCAGGAGCCCACCAAAACCTTCTTGCAACGTGTCCTGCACTTCTCTGTCTGTCTCCTGCTCCTATTGCTCCTTGTAAGGTGGTTGCCTGGAGCTCAGTGACATTCAGCCCATCAGGACTCCCCCACGGGGAAGGATGGTGGGAGACTTTTCCTGGGATGCTGGCATGTGTCCCTGGAGGCAAATCCTGCTGCCTGCATCCATGAAGGCACGAAAACCTTTCCCCATCTGCTCAGGTGACGGTAGCAATGCTCCAACCTGGCCCAGGGAGCTGAAAGAGATGTTTTCTTGCAAGAGTAGCCTGGGAGCATGCTGCCAGGCTGCAGGCCTTTGTGCTGTCTGCTCAGCCAAACTTTATTCCCCTGGGTCCCCACTCCACGCATGCCGCCTGAGCCCCGCTCCTTCCTCAGCTGCTGCCGGCAGCCGGGGGGGCAGCTGGGCCAGCATGCCTGGTGCCCCAGGGTCCCCTTAGCACAAGTCTGCCAGCATTTTAGGGTCCACCGCACGTGCCCTCAGCCAGTGCCATGCCTGGGGCTGCAGCATCTCTCCTACCGTGTCCTGGAGATCTCCCTCTGCTCCCCAGCAGGCGTGGGGTAGATCAGGCTGTGGAGCTCGCTGGCAGGTCCTCAGTCCTTGTGGTATCTGCTGGAGTGCCCGGGATCCAGCTGGTCACCACAGTGGATGCACTGATGGTCCTCAGTGTCGTGTTGGCTGACAATCACTACCAGCCTGTGCTAATTGTCTGGCGTTATTTATTCCTTCTTATTTTAATCCAGCACTTGAGCTGGGAGCTGCCGTTGTTCCCATCAGACTTGGGGTTTTTTTTTCCCAGATGAAAATCAATGCAGGATTTTTGTGATGCCAGGCAGTCTTTCTGCCTTTGCCTGCCTATTGTTTGAGCTGCGAAAGAATTAAGTCATCATGGAAAAATTTAGGACTTCTGTTGGGCTATGCAGGGCCTGTGGCGTGGGGGTACGTGGGGTTGCAGGCATGCTTGGCGTGTTGCATGGGTGCAGAGGGGCTTGATCCCCCTCTCCTGGCACGACCACACCATCCTCGATGCCCAGGCCCGCAGCATCCGATGCCGCCTCACGGTCTGATGTTTCTGTACGTGATTTCATGGCAGATGCTCTCTCTCCATCCGTGCTCTGGCTCGTGTCACTTGTGCAACTGCCCCGCACCTCCTCTGCTTTATCAGCCTCCTCAGTGCCGAGGTCCCTGTCTTGCCGGGTCACACACAGGGTGACTGCAGCCCCACTGGTGTGCTGGGAAGCCTGGGCAGAGCTGACGCTGTCACCAGCTTTGCTGATGTCTCCCTGTCCCTTGCCTGTCCTTGCAGGGAGCCCCGGAAAATCATCCTGCACAAAGGCTCCACCGGCTTGGGCTTCAACATCGTTGGGGGGGAAGATGGTGAGGGGATCTTCGTGTCCTTCATCCTGGCCGGGGGCCCAGCTGACCTCAGCGGGGAGTTGCGGAGGGGAGACCGCATCCTCTCGGTGAGTCGACGGGGCCCCCCGCTGCCCCTCCAGGGCCTCCCACGGCCCCGGGAGGGTGCCCGCAGGACACTGATCCCCCCCCCCCCCCCCCCGGCCCGCGCTGCGCAGGCG